ACCCTGGGATCATGACCTGAGCCGAAGACAGACGCTTAACGACTGAGCCACCCAGGCGCCCCTTTTACTTACTTTTCTTATTTACTTTTTTAAATGTGGCTATCCTACACAAATTTTAATTACAAATATAACTCTCAGTTTTCTATTGGACAGGGCTGTTCTATATCTTGACTGCCATGCTGGTTGCATGACTACATAGGTTTGTCAAAACTCAGAGAGCTCGTGTAAAGGGAGAAATCTGCTGTCTGTAAATTAGGCCCCAGTAAACATAACTGTTAAAGGGCGCCTGGCTGTCCGTCAGTAGAGCATGCGACTCGTGATCTTGGGGCCATGAGTTCTAGTCCCACACTGGGGACAGAAATTACGAAAATAAAAATAATAATAAATAAATCTTTTAAAAATGTTTTAAAGAAAATAAAAATCTTGTTTGATAATGCTTTTGAACAATGTCTGTCTCTTAAAGTTCTGAACTTCCCATTCACAGTCTTATAAAATAGCCTGGTAACAAATTCGGTGCCTGGCAAGAAGAAAGGATTTTCCTTGATCTTTAGCCAAAAAGTTTTCTTTAAACTGCCAGAAAGTTCTGACTAGAAAGAGAATGTAAAGTGTTGGCCAGAGAATGATTCAAATCAGGAAAGAAACCAGAGAAGGAAAGATTGCATAGGAAGAAGGATCAATGGAGGCCCCAGTGAAGTAGAAAAAAGTGCTGTGGAAACGGCTGGCAGGACAAACGGGACAGAGAGGAGGCTGAGAGGTCACAATGGGAGGTATTTGAGCTAAGGATTTTGGAAATGATGATATATTCCATTCTGTGACTGGAGAAAGGAGGCTCTGGTGAAGAGAAGAGAAGGTACTCAGTTAAGATCAAGGAACTTAGCACTATACGGTAACTAACTAGAATTTATTTATTTGTTTGTTTGTTTGTTTATATCACTTTTAGAGAGAAAGAGAGAGCAGGCGGAAGGGGAAGAGGGAGAGGGAGAGAGAAACACAAGCAGACTCCGTGTGAGCACAGAGCCCATGTGGGGCTTGATCTCGCAACACTGAGATCACAACCTGAGCTGAAACCAAGAGTTGGCTGCTTAATTATGCCACCCAGGCGTCCTACCAACTAGAATTTAAATAAACATTTGGAAAATAAATAAATAAATAAGTAAATAAACGTTGGTATCTTTGAGAGTATAAAAAAGAGAAAGATGAGACATTGGAGCTGATATAAGATCTATGGGAAGGATCTAGCCACATGAGAAACTGAAGGTAGGACCGAGCAGCAGGTACAAATGGTTTGAGTCAAAAGAGTTTGGCCTGTTCAAGGAATGTAGCTCAGGGTGGCTGGAGCATGGTAAATGAGAGCAGACAGGTTGGCAGGGGCTGGATTCCCCAGAGTTTTGCAAACCAAGTAAGGAGTTTGGTTTCATACTAAGTGTAATGGGAAGCGATAGAGGTCTTTTTTTTTTTTTTTTAA